TCTATCTATCTATCTATCTATCTATCTATCTATCTATCTATCTATCTTAGTATCTATAGTATCTATTTATAGCATCTATCTATCTACCTACCTATTATATCTATATAGTATCTATAGTATCTATCTATCATCCATCCATCCATCCATCAATCATATCTATCTATATAGCATCTATAGTATCTATTTATCTATCTATCTACCTACCTACCTACCTATCGTATCTATATAGTATCTATAGTATCTCTCTATCATCTATCCATCCATCCATCCATCCATCCATCCATCCATCCATCCATCGTATCTATTTATATCTATCTGTCTGTCTGTCTATCTATCTATTTTACAGTATCTATCTGTCTACAGTATCTGTCTCATCTCGTAACATTCTTTCCCTCCCACCACCTTTCTCTCTGACGTCCTTTTTGCTTTTCCGTAAAAAAATGCAACAATTAAAAATATCTCTGCAACTGTCCCTGTTTCTCGCAGGGCCAGCCCGAAACTGTGCAGGAGGCGCTGAGATTCACCATGGACGTCATTGGAGGGAAGTGAGTGGTTGCTTGGTGTGTGTGTGTGGGGGGGGGTTACCCCATGTTTGTACTTCCCCTCTGCCTCCCAGCAACCCCCCCCCCACTTCTAAGTACAGTTAGTCCTCAGTTACGACGGTTTGTTTAGCAACCGTTATAAGTTACAATGGCCCTGGTCCTTGGTCAAGCGTGATAGGAATTCGGAGCTCTTGGCCACTGACTTGTATTTGTGACGGATGATCCCCCTTTCGCGACGGGGATGTTGGATTCACAGCTGACTGATTCCTTTATCAACGACAGGGATTCACGGAACGGCGGCTGGAACAGTCGTATGATTGGGGGTGGCCAAAACTCTCTTGGCCGGCATCTCGCTTAATGACAGAAATTGGGGGTGGTGCCGGATGTAAGACAAGAACTATCCGCTGGCCAAGCCAACCCTTTCCCTTCCCTTCCCATCAGCGGGAGGAGATCTGGCTGTGGGTGTGAATCCTGCGGTGCAGGGGTCAAGGTCGCTTAACCTCTGTGGTTTTCCTGAGAGACCCCCCCCCCCCCCCCCCACACTTTAGGTATAATTCCTCCAAAAAAGATAACGACTTTATCTACCACGAGGCTGTCCCTGCGCTGGACACTTTGCAATCTATTAAAGGTAATTGAGGGAGGGGGAGAAAGTAGGCTGCTTTAAGAGGGGAGGAATTCAGGGCTGGCTTGTCAGCTGACCCCTCCCCGCTTCTCTGTGGGGGGGGGGTCTCTAGAAGGACACCAGCTTATGGGTTATTCCCTGTCATTGCCACCCCTTTCCACCAGGGGCGCCGTTGGTCAAAGCCCTCCCCGTCAACCCCACCGATTCAGCCGTAACCGGCCCGGATATTTTCGCCAAACTGGTGCCCATGGCTGCCCACGAAGCCTCGTCGCTCTACAGGTAGGAAGGTGGAGCGGACCAGAACAGGACCCCCTTTCTGGGGGGGGGGGGGGGGGGGGGGGGGGGAGGACAGGCAAGTCCCATCGGGGCCGGAAGTCTCCTTAGACCCCCACCATGCCGTGAAGGGCGTCGAGGTGAGCACCAAAGGTCTGGGAGCAAATCAGTAGCTGATTGTCATTCACGCATGAGGGGTGTTATACGTAACCAATGGAAGGGGGTATTTGTACCTCGGGGTTGAACTGGCGGGGGGGGGGTCCTGGCTGCTCTCCAGGCTGGGTGGGTTTCTGGCAGACATCTCGTGACTAGACTAGGGAACGTCGTTAGTGCCAGGGAAGAGACAAGGAGGAAGGACTGTGGGGTGCTTGGTACTCTCTGAACTGGATGGGTTTCTTGCGGACATCTCACGACCCAGTTAGGAAACATTGTCAATGCAGTAAGGGAATGGAGTTTGGGAGGAAGAAAAAGAGGAGAAGGAGGAGGAAGAAGAAGAGGAGGAGGAGGAGGAGGAAGGACTCAGAGCTGGGTGGTTTTCTTGCAGTTTTCTCTCATGAGCCAACTAGGTTAACAACATCAGTTGTGCTAGAAAGGAGGAGTGGGCTTTGTAGAGAGGAAGAGAAGTGGAAGAGCAGGAGGAGAGAGAGACAGTGACAGAGAGAGAGGGAGAGAGGCAGAGTGACAGACAGAGAGAAAGAGGAAGGGTGACAAAGAGATCTTATGTGTTTTTCTCTCTGTTTCTGGTCCTCAGCGAGGAGAAAGCCAAGCTGTTGAGGGACGTCATGGCCAAGATCGACACCAAGAACGAGATTCTCGAGTATGCATGTTTTCAACTCGGGTTCGGCTGGGATGAGGGATCGCAAAGCACATGGTGCGGATGGGGGAAGGAAGATGCTTGGTGGCCGACTCATAGTTACGATGGTCGTGCGATGAGCCAAGTCAGCCAGAGCGGGGGGAGGAAGCCCAATTCGTTTAACGACCGTTGTGGCTGACTTTTCATAAGTGAGGGGATTCGCTTAAGCATGGAGGGAGGGACATAGAGAGATGGTCGTCCGGGGCATAACTTGCTTTTCAGCACTGTCTCGCTTAGCGACGGAAAGGTGGTTGTAAGCCGAGGACGGCCCGCCCAAACCTCCCTAAACTGGGGTTGTCATCCCCCTTGGCAGGCAGTTCATGGACTCTCTGCAGCTGGACGCCGAGACGGTGGACAATCTGGATGTGTACGACCACATCCCACCCGTCTTGATGGAAAAATGCGCGGCGCTCAGCGTTCGCCCGGAGACCGTGAAAAACCTCGTCCAATCCATGCAAGGTAAGGGGGGGG